AATACTGCTGCTTTCAACACAGTAGCCGCTTTTAATAGAGTAGCTGCTTTCAACACAGCAGCTGCTTTCTACACAGTAGCTGCTCTTTACACATCGGAAATATGTGTTTTCTGATGGTCTTAGGCGGCCCCTGTGAAAGGGTCGTTCGACCCCCAAAGGGGTCGCGACCCACAGGTTAAGAACCACTGGCTTAATGCATTCCTTGTATTAAGGTAAAAAATGTTTTCCATTCCTCTGTCCTCCCCTTCTCTGTGTGAAGGGTAAGAGAGGGGAGAATAGATCCAGCACTGTGCATGGCTGCATCTCTTCTCCATTAGCTCCTGCTGCTGTCACTCTAATGCAGTGAAGAGGAAGTGGGGAACAGGGCTAAGTCCCGCTGTGTGTGTCTATGGAGCACGGCTCCATAGACCTACAGCTCTGGAGTGAGCAGACTCCGTGTGCCCTCATAGCAATCGACTTGCTATGGGGACATACTTAAAAGAGGAGGAGCCAAGATCGCCGCCAAGGGACCACTTCACAGCGCACGTGAGTATAACTTGTTTGTTACTAAAGTCAATTTTTTTAAATTATATTAACAGTTTTTAAAACCTGTGTCAAGAAAAATATGAAGTCTGCCATTGTTGTCCTCCTTCTGAAAATGTTAGTTGGCTACCAGTTGTGCTGATCTTCTCATTTCAGTATTATGTGTAAATGACCTGGAACAAGTGTACTGCCAGTAAAGGCAACAGGACTCTCAATGGCTCAGGAAGCATAGAATATATTAAATCAACAAGACAGCCGGGCAACTAGCATATTCAGGAGCAAGATAGCAGTGGCAGCACCAAAACTTACTCACAGCCAAGGTTTTCTTAAAACAAAGGTTCATTGTTCCAATGTTTACCATTTCACATTTGTGTACTCTGTAATGCGTTTGTTTTTAAATTACATTTTTATTAGATTTTGATATACAAGGTAGATCAGGAAGTTGTGAAAAATCCACTATAACAGAGAGCAATATTCACATATAACAAGATTATAAGCACATAGAGACTTTAATACCCAAAGATCATAGAGTTCTATGTAATGTGTTTTAATATTTTGCTTTTTACTTAGCGGATAGCTCTAGAGCTTCAGGAGCTGCTGCAGTGGCTGATGGGAGCTCCGGCTGGCCTGAAGATGAACCGAGCCTTGGATGAGGTTCTGGGAAGATTCTTTATGTATCACATCCACCTGTGGATAAGTACGTTTGTAGAAGATCCCAAAAGATCAGAAAGTTTTCCTTATAAGAAACCACTGTTCCTGTCTGTACTAGACTCCGTTTTACTTCTGTCATCACTGGTGTGTTTTCTGTCTACACCACTTATAATATGACCTAACGTTTCATCGGGTATTTTCTGCACTGAAATATTAGTAATAGAATACACAGGCTGCTACCTCTGATTTGCTAATTCACACCACTTGCCAGCCAGCACACTGCCAATGAATAATCTGATACCTCTGAAAAACTGTGTACCTTGGCTCTAATGCTTGACCTCCTTATACTGTTTACAGGTTACATCCGCCTGATGTCTCCCTTCATTGAAGTAATTCTCTGGTACATCGGCCTATCTGCTTGTCTGGGTTTGACCGTAGCTCTGTCCATCCTTTCTGACATCATTGCCCTTCTGACCTTCCACATCTACTGCTTCTATGTATACGGGGCCAGGTAGGAACACATTGGGGTGCACAAAAAGCCAGGATAAATCCCCTTTATGTGTGTGCGTACCCTAGGTAGAAAAATTAAAGCGGAGCTCCACCCAAAAGGGGAAGTTCCGCTTTAAGTACTGTTCCCCGCTCCCCATTAAGGATTGGCACCTTTGGGGAGCAGTGGGGAGCTGTTACCCGAATTTGACAGGTACCTGCTCCCCACTTCCGGTTCGATCGCCTAGGCCAGGGGTAGGCAACCTGCGGCTCTCCAGCTGTTGCAGGACTACAAGTTCCATCATGCCTCTGCAAGTCATAGCTGTAACTCAGTTTTGTAATGTTGCAATGCCTCATGGGAAATGTAGTTACACAACGGCTAGAGAGCCGCAGGTTGCCTACCCCTGGCCTAGGCGATTGGAAGCGGAACGTGTCCTCCCTCCCTCCCTGTAGTCTTTTGGGACACATGACAGGTCCCAGAAGACTACAGGACCATTCATGAAGCGCAATGCTGCTCTCGCTTGCGCAATGGGTACCCGGCTGTGAAGCCGCAAGCTAGCACAGCCGGGTGCCCACACTGAAGATACCGGCCTCCTGGAATACAGGACGGCTGGTGAAACGGGCTGTGGGGGACACACCGCTGGACCGAGGGATGGGTGAGTGGCTGTTTTTTAAAAGTCAGCAGCTACAGTTTTTGTAGCTGCTGACTTTTATTTTTTGACAGGGTGAGTGGAACTCCGCTTTAAGGATATATTTTTTTTACCATATCCATACTATAACAGGCCTGCAACTCTTAGATTTTAATCAAGCATTAACATTTTTAAATTTAAAGCAAAGTCCATGAAAAAATGTTTTTCTCACCATGCAGTGGGGCTGTACCCTCACTGCATGGGTGACTGCTTGTTTTGTCTATGGACGCACTGAAAGGCTATACTTACCCGATCCATCAATCCTCTGGAAAACAGCGCTCCCTCACGTTCAGCAGCGAACTGTTCCTGCTGTCCTCACGTCCAGAGCCGGTCTATGGCCGTGATGACGTCAGGAACAGTGCATTCACAAGACCGCTAACGTGTGGGGGGACAGGAGCTGTCTTGTGCTCTGAGGATTAGGTAAGTAAATCTCCGCTCCCCTCACCCCTAGACAAAAAATAATTCCTAGAATTAGAGACAAAATTTACTTTCTCTAGTTTTTGTGTACATAGAGTCGAAAAGAGGTAAATGTGTTTTATAATTAATTTTCACAAGAGGAGAGAGTGAGTGAAATTGTAAAATTATCTTGTCATGGGAGCAAGAGTATACAGAAACATCTGCTAGTGGGGACACCTGCCCAGTGACTACTATCGCTGACAATATTTCCCCTTACTTCTTGACACATGGACACAAAATGGTAAGAAATCTACATTTAGCAACAGACAACATTGGAAACCTAATAGAGAATTTAACTCTTCTTCATTCTATCCAAAACTGAAAAAAACTGCTTTATTTTTGTGGGTTAAAATAACCTTTTTCAACCCGGGTGCCTTCTGGGTTTTGCTTCTACAAAATGCCTAAAAGTTGCCCTAAATTACCCAAAAATTGTCAACAAGCCTGTGGGTGGATCAACGCTGTTTTTTTGTTACACAAAGCCATAGGCTTGTATTGTGCAGCATTACAGCCTTGGGCAAAGTGTAGGCCAGCCCCTGGCATCCTGACAGCCAATGGTGTCATCGGTTGATGAGGAGGATGTCACGCGCCTGCACAGCAACATTTTAGCCCCTCTCTATCGGCACTGGGGTCACGTTAGCTGGGTGAGGGAGAGAAACTGAGGAGAAGAGAAATGCTGGAATACTAGTTGGTACCAGCGTGCAAAGGTATATTGCTTTGTAAGAAAAAAAATCACCTCTGATGTTGGGTGTCCTATGTGTGTGGATGTCATGAGAGCAATACACTACTGCTAGTTCTAAACTTTTTCTAAAAATGCTAATTGTCTGGTTGTTCTGTTGGTCTGCCAGTTAGAGAAAAGTCCTTCATGTATTTTCTGAACCAGTGATCCAGAGTCTGGAACAGGATGGGTCTCTGATTATTTATTTATTTTTTTGCAAATCCTTTATGTAAAGCATACAGTGGCTCTATTTTTTTTTTTCTCATTTTAAACAGCTGGTGGCAGTGCCTGTTAATTAGCTGCCACTCTCTGTAGCTCTGTCTGAAATATAGGTTGCAGAGAATCATGTGACAGAATGTTGTGGTCCTGTACAGAAGCACTACACAGCACATGTTGATCTGGATGTGATGAATTGTATTTAACCCCTAGACATATGTGCTGGGAGCGCACAGGGCACGCGCTCTCAGCACATATGTATTTTCTAATGGCACGCAAATATGCAGCCGCTCGGGGTCAAGGCCCAGACACCAAGACGCCGCATATTTGCGTGCCATTAGAAAATACATATGTGCTGAGAGCGCGCACCCTGTGCACTCCCAGCACATATGTCCGTGACTCACGGAAAGATCCTAATCTCCCCTTGCGATTGGGACCCTTTCCTATAATGTGACTGCGAATCATGGCAGTCACATGACCCTAAAACCCTGCCCGCCTCCTGACTTCTAAAACTCTTAAAGAGCTGGGAGGCGCCGGCACAAAGGGGTTAAGATTGTAAATGTCTGCAGCACCACAAATTACAATATAGCAAATCAAAGAAAATCAGCAATAATAATTACTTTGTGGTTTTTGTGGTGCTTCAGACATTCTGTAGGGTCTGTATATCAACCTATTCTGCTAGCAGCCTTTTGTATCACAGCCGGGGCAGGCTGACCACTCATGGGGCCCCTGGGCAATACGGGATCATGGAGCCCCTGTGTCCTTGCCCAAACTCAAAAAAGCCTATGAAAAAGGTACGTACCAGGGGCATCTCATGGGGCCCCCTATTGACCCCGGGCCCTCGGGCAGTGCCCAAGTTTCCAAATGGTAAGTCCGCCCCTTATCTCAGTGCAGACGAGACATTGAGATATGATGGATTGTATTAAACACAGTTGCAAATTAACTGTTAGTTGCAAATGGACTGTGTGATCTGGCTTAAAGAGTATTGCCAGCCGAGCTATTGATATTCTTATAACATGCAGGTAATTGATCAGAAGTTACATTTGTCACAATGGCTGTCACAGCTGTGCCCTGGCTAGCTTAGGAACTACGCAGACATATCAGATGAGCTGCCGGTGTTTAGCTATTCTAGTTCATGAGGGCACATGCTGTTTTTCTTGTTTTTGATTGATTTCCAATTGTCTTTTAGATTGTACTGCTTCAAGATGCACGGGCTCTCGTCTCTTTGGCGGCTGTTTCGTGGCAAAAAGTGGAATGTCTTGCGTCAGCGGGTGGACTCCTGCTCTTATGACTTGGATCAGGTATCTAGTCTTTTCTATAACCACAGTTCTACCTCAGAGCAAAGGAATTGTGAGCTGAGAGATTTTTGTCTTGCAGTTTGAATGAATTGGTTATGCATGGAAAAAGCAAGATCCATTGTAATGCATTACTACTACAATGTACTGCTGTAACTGTATATCACCTCTCTCCTGCAGCTTTTTCTGGGGACGTTGCTATTCACAATCCTGCTCTTCCTTCTACCAACTACTGCTCTGTATTACCTGGTATTCACCCTGGTATGTACTATTCTTTAATACTGGAGGTCATTATGGTCTTGATGCCCAAACAACATTTTTGCAGCATCAGTATGCATTGGTTAGCTTGACAAAAACAAAAACTCTGTTTTGCCATCCTAATTGATTTTCACATTGCTTTTAAGGACATGGAAGGCTTTTATGCAGTAAACTGTTTTTAGTAAATACCCTGCTTATATAGGCTGAGAAATGGACAAGGCACTTGAGCTGAAAGATTTGCCTGTAAACAAACCAATGTGATCACCATGTCAAAGCTGTTATTCTGATCTCATGGTCGAGAACCACATTGATTGGTTCCTGATTGCTAGGGGAGACCCAGAGCTGTCACCTGACAGCAGGGTCTGTGGCATAGGACTGCGCACAAATACGCTTTCAAAGAACAAAGGTATACCGCTCAGGCAAACAATCCAGATCAATCCACAACAGGTGCAGGCTCTGGCTCGCCACCACACACGATGCAATAGGAAGAAGGGTCAGACACACACCAGAGGATAGATGAATATAGCGTGTATTTATTGATCTATAGGACACAAAAACACCAGGACATGAATACAGGACCTGTTAACGCGTTTCACACGATCTGGTGTTTTGTGTGTCCTATAGATCAATAAATACACACTATATTCATCTATCCTCCGATGTGCGGCTGACCCTTCTTTCTATCACAACTACACTTTCCCAGTTCTCACTTGAAGCTTTCGTTTAATGTTTTAATGGCAAAATCCTGAGAAACCTCGCCTGTGTCAGCATGCTGCTGCTGATACTCCTGAAATTTGACCAACTGTGTGGGGCTGTGCCTGCACAACCATGTCAATAATTTACAGAGATCTGTGAATAAATGAACTACAAGTCTCAACTGCACATCACTCATAATCCTACTCCACTTCCTCCAGCTGTCCAACTGAAAGCCCGTACCTCGGTAGTTGGAGAAGAGTCTGCAGGAGCCTGGCATTGCACCCACAGTCCTCTGATTGTAGATGCAATGCTTTGCAGGCTTCTGTAAAAAAAGAAAATATGCATTTTTTACTGCAAAAATATATGCATTTATTTTGTAAGGTGGACTTAGCATTTAATTGCCAGATTTCAGGCACCATTTTGTGCTAATTAAAATAAAATATAATTTGCCATTTCCTACAAGAGCAGCTAATACTATTATCATAAATATGTATCAAAAGTACAGAAAATTGTAATGAATGTGGTATTTGACATTTGATGTGAGTGTGTTTTCTCAGAGAATAGGTGCAGGAACTCTTCCCTTGTCTTCGCCCCCTAGGCACCTCTGAGCACCAATTTTTGGTGTTTCACCCCTATTCATCTCCCAGTACCGCCCACACCAGCAACATTAGACCCCCTGCAGCAACAACAGATCCCTCAGCAGCCAGCATTAATAGACCCTCCAGCAGCCAGCAACAGAAGACCTTAACAGTAGTTTTCTCTCAGAAACAATTGACCCCCAGCAACAATATATCTCCCACCAGCAACAATATATCCCACACCAGCAACAATATAACTTCATGCAAAAATAGGTCCCCCAGCAGTCAGCATCAACATACCCTCCATGACACCCCCAGCACCCCTTACTATTACATACATTCAGTGCTGGAGGTGCTGTAACTGCATTCTCCCATGTTCCCGCTGAAAAAAGCCCTGTATTTTCCTAAAAACAGAATTTTTGTCTCAAATGTTTTCAGTTCTGATGACATTCCTGAAACACATATATAATAAACTGACCTTTTGCTGACAATGTGTGTTTAAAATAGATCTAAACCTAATCATTAAAATTTCTTAAAAGCTTTAAAATGTTTGTAATATGTGGCAGTATCATCCTTGTATGGCCAGATTTAATGGCACTCACATCTATAGAAAAGGAAACAACACTTCACTTTACCAGGTAATATGTAAATATTAGATTTGTTAAGTTCAATTTATGGTGAAATTAATATGGAGCTGGCAGTGATGGTTATTACACTTAGCTGAACTGCAAACATTTACTGAGCATTGTCAGCTGTTTTGTAGCAACTAGATGCCTGGTCAGTACACTACGGAGATCGAGAGCAGACAAAATGCGTACATGCAACCCTTAAATCCTCCAAAAGTATCTGCAATCTATACACTTGCATTTGCTTAGAAATAAAATAGTATTACTAAAGATCTACTCAGTTCAGTCAAAACTAAAATACCAAAGTCTCAGTGACCAGGAGAGATTCTGACCTTTACCAGTCAAATGTCAGGGGCAGGGCTAATTGTCAGAAGTGAGTTGGGCCAATGAAACCTTTTTTTCTTTTATAGTCCTCTACCACGGTATGTTAGGAATTGTAACTGCATTTTGCTATGAAATACTTTAAAGTGAATCTGTAGCGATACTGTAGCTGTAGCTTTACCCCCCGGTCACATCAAAGCCGATTTTGAAATCATGGGACTTACAGTGAAGTCGCACGATTTCAAAATCGGGTGACCTGCCAATTTCATTGCGATTTGCAAGACATCCGACACAGATGTCTATGCAAATAGCAACAAAAGCTGTGCATGCACTACTTTGGAAATCAGTGCGGCTCTGACAAAGTCGAAAACCGCACCAATATGACCGCTCTAATAGTGGACTGTGACGGGAGTCACTTTGGGTGGGGGGCCCATGGAACCCAGCTCACTTTGGTGAGGTGGTGAGACCCCTGTCTCAGCTCCCCATATCCCTCTTGTGTGTAAATCACCCTGTGCCTGTTATGGGTACAGGGTGATCTGTCCTACTATTGTGTGGGCTTTGTCTCAGGCTGTGTAGACTTGTTTAGGAGATAAGTGGGGTGGGGGTTGTTGATTGTTTAATGCTATGTGGCTGCATCCCATTGTTCTATTGTTTGTCTGGCTTGGGAGCAAAATATTATGGGATGTATGTGTTTATGTGTATTAGCTTAGTGGGGGGGGGGGGGTGTCTCCAGCAGCCCTCCCTCCTGATGGGACTGTCTGCTGGTGTGAAGTTTGAATACCTGTGTGTCTCTTGTTACTAAATGTAGATTGCCCCCCCCCCGTGTCATTATGCAGGGAGGGGGGACTATCCCCTAAGTGTATATATCTTGTATTGTGTTCAAATAAAGTGTCTACCTCCTGGTTTACTTCAAGACTGGTGTCGTCTAGTCTTGTGGTGTCTGTGGTCGGTGTTCGGACGGGGAAGTGGTATTCTAAAGGAAGTATTGTCTGGGTCGGTTCCATTACATGGACAATAGGGTGCGAGTTGGAATACGACTTTCAAGTCGCAGGGCATGCAAATCGTATGCCAAGTCGCACCCGATGTGACTGGGGGCTTAGAACCTATTTCAGATTTCTGTTCCTGTCTATGTACATTCACCCTCTCTATTTGACCATTGTCAGCAGGACTAAAGGTTACAGAAAATCCCAAATTTTACAGTTTTTATTAAAACAGTTTTTCGGAGAGCTTTCCACTCACTTCATGTTAGGTCTCTGGCACAGTAATAAAATGAAATCTCACCAATGGCACACAGACAGCAAAAAGCCTAATAGGGCTTTTAACCGCACCTACTCTATCTAAAACTAAAAAAAAAAAAAAACAACAAACCATTTACTTGCAAGTTTCTCAATGTGCCTGCTTATTGCACGTAATGTTTAGACACTGTGGAGAACATAACAGGTTCAACTGTAAAATCAGTAATGAGCATTGGGTAAATATACTGTATGTTAAATTGTCCAGGATTCCAGTGATGAGAACTGGCGAATACTGCCTATATAACCATATATCTTTATTACAATGACCATGCCTGAGATAAAAGAGATTATACATGAAGTGTTACTGTTTATAATAACATTTAATCTTAAAAAAGGAAGTTGTAGCATTCCCTCATAAATCCTAACAATCTCTGGGGAGGAGAAAGCCAGACGCATGAATACTATTTCCACATACTAAGTATGCTTAAAGGATAAGTTCAGCTTTTAACAAAAAAATGATAAATGCACATTTTTTTGCAGGTAAAAAATCGTGCATTTGCTATTTTTTGTTTTGGGAGCCTTGAAAGCATTGCACTAGCAATTAGCAGATCGCCGGTGCCATGCAGGACTCCTGAAGACCTGTTAGTGTATCTGTCTGCTTGTACCTTGTATGGGCAAGCAGATACACTCTGACAGGAAGAATGAGCACAACAGTGCTGTGGTAATTCATTGAGAACTACAAGCCAAATGCCGCAAAGGCTGTCGGAACTTGTAGTTTTCCCATTCACAGAATACTGTGAATGAGTGACATGCCTGAGCGGGCGAAGCCCCGCAGGGCCAGGTTTTTTTTTTTTTTTTTTTAATTATGACAGCTAGCTGGGGGAGAAGATCTGTCACAATGGGGGATATGGGGGGGAGATTGGGGGCTACTCCTTTCATAACATGTTACACTCTGAATATGAAAATCGAAAGGTGAACTTATTCTTTAAAGCCCATCTTCAGGCAAAAAGAAAATTTCCCCGTGCAATGGGGCTGTGCCCCCTTTTTTTTTGGGGGTGAATAGAAAGCTATTACTCACCTGATCCTTCGATCCTTCAGAAAATGTTTCCCTCCCCCCCCGTGTGGTTTGTTCTTGGTTTATGGAGCCAACTCTGGGTGTGATAATGTCAGGATGTCAGGAACAGTCCACTATTCAAGACTCCTGAAGTGCACGGATGCCAAACTTGTCACAGCCCCACTGCATGGGAATTTATTAATTTTTTTGCCCAGAGTTGAGCTTTAAAAAGGAACCTGCAAGGATATGCTGGGCTGTTTTTAATTATAGTAGCTCTGTTGCTGGCCATAACTTCACTTCATGTGATTTGCGGGTTTGGACACTTCATCAGGGCTACATCACAGTGATCCAATTAGCAGGAAAAAGATTTCTGGGGGATGTCTTCATACAAGCAGAACAGCCCCAGATTGCCTTAGTGCAAGAAAAGTGATTATATTTAAAGCCTAAGTGCAACCAAAATTACAAACAGAAAAATCAGAATATATGGGACATAACCTACAGTCAGTGGGACGTGTGTCTTGTGCTGATTTCTTTTCTGTTAGTTAGTCTTTCTCCATCCTGCCCCTACCCCTGCTGCTGCAATCTCTTTCAGTGCGGCGGGGGTTAATACAACTAATGGGCTGTCACAAGCTGTCATCAAGAGAGCCCAACTATGCCCACCATTTCTGCCCAGCTCTTCTATTCATGGAAGCCATACTATAGCTTATATGAATAAAACAGGATCTCTGAATCAAGGATGGGCAGATGATTGATATCTCCACCCCACTCCATTCAAAGATTTTTTTTTTTTTCCCCAGTCAAAGGATCTGCAGTACAGCTTCTTACAGCTTCTATGAGTGGAGCAGAAAGAGCGGGCATTATCAGGCTGTCTTGATGAGAGCCTGCGACAGCCCATTAGTTGTATTAACTTCTGCCTTAGGCATTAAATGTTTGGCAATTTAAAAAAACTGAAACATGAAAGCTAATGCTATATATATATATATATATATATATATATATATATATATATATATATATATATATATACACACACACACCACAACAGTTGTTCACCTTTGCTTCCCATCTGCTCATGTGACTCTTTATTTCCTTTTCTCTCTAACAGCTTCGCCTACTAGTGATAATGGTACAAGGTGTCATTCAGATGACTATAAACCTGCTCAGCTCACTCCCTTTCTTCGCACTGCTGCTGCGCCTCTGCCGTTCCTACCGGCTGGCAGGTGGGTCCTTTATGCTTTAAAGGAGATCTGCACCCAAACAAGCATGGAGTCTGCCATTAGTGACATCCTACTGAAAGTGCTAGTTGCTTGCCTCTCTGACTTCAGTACTTCCACAGACCCAGTGCAGACATGCAACCAGTGAAGCCAGAACACCTACGCTACATGTTCATTTAGGGACACCGGCTAAAAAAATGTGAAGCCATTGGATCAGCAAGACAGACAGGCAGATATTTGTACTAAGTGCATGTAAACCCTACCAATGAACTTCTCTTATTTCCTCCATTTTGGTCTGCTAAATGTACCATTGAAAGTGTTGTTGATCCTGACAGAAGTATTGTGAGATGATAACTGTCTGATTGTGCCCAAGGAGGGGTATGGAGGTAATGAGGGTGGGGAGAGGTGTGGAGAAGTCTGTGTTCTTTTTAATGCATCAGAAATGAAGTAGGCAGAGCTGACCACATGTGCTAAACATTTCAGGTAGGAGACAAGGGACAAGGACAGGGTCCTTTAGCACCCTAGGCAAAAAGACCAAAGTGCACCCCTTCCTCTTGTTCCGACCCCTTGGCTTAGCCCTGGGTAGAAATATGCTATTTTTCTGGAGTATCAGCAGTTTATTTTCTGTACTTGTTTTTAATAGGACACAATGTGCACATGTTAGGGTTTTTTTCTTTTTTGTCTTTTTTATACTTTTTAGTTCACATTTTGAGTTATTTTTCTGGCCTTTATCCAACACCCAAGTCACTCAACAGTCATACAACTACAACATAGACCTGCACTGAGAGAGGGTACATTTAAGCATAGCCGTTGTGCAGCATCAGTTATGGAATCAATATGGCTGCACCCCCCCCCCACCCTTCCTTTCCCATGTACCTAGGGTAAGAGACATATGCTATAGATGTCTGAGGTTACAGTAAACTATTTAGCATAGAGGAACAGAGTTGCTTACATAAATGTTATCTTTTAAACGTTTTCTTTTTAATTCTTTATTTAGAAAACACCTAAAGCATTGCAGTAAACAAAGTATAACCAGAGTACAATAGTAATCGATAGACCACCCTGCCGGTTGTGCCAGACAACAGGTATCACACATGAAATCCCTGAAGACATCAGGTATCTACGGAGGTTGGGAGACATAAGTACAATGCAGGGCTGAGATCATCATAGGGATTGTTGACAGTGGGGGACACTGCTGCTCTAATTTTTTTCTTTTGTAGACAAGACTGGAAAAAAATAGACGAAAATTCATATAGAGGAAAGATAAGTAGGAAATGAGGAAGAGAAAGAAAAGAGGGAGAGGGAAAACTAGAGCGAGTCAAAGGGACACCTGTATCTAAAAGTCAGTAGGACTCACTTCGATAAGAGACTTTCCTTCCTCTGAGTATATGAACATGTTCTATAGAGTCCACGGTTTGGTATACACGTCATGTTTGTGTTGGTAGCACGAGATCCTCCATTAGACTCAATCCCTCAACCTTGTGGAGCCAGAGCCCAATGGACGGAAGCTGTGGGTCTTTCTACTTTGCATTTCCTGCTTTGATAACTCCACTTTACTTCTGTTGCAGCGGGTGTAAAATTTCGCATGCTGGAGCAACAAAAGGGGAAGGCACTTCGATTGTTGATGCAGGTGAGGTTGATCTATCATTTGCTAAATATGCATTATTAGCTGAATAAAGCTGGATAAAGTGGTGTTTTATTATGATACTGATGTTCTGATCTATGGCATTGATTACTACGGTTATCATGAAGAAAAATCTGTGTAATGGCTGCATTCGTTTTCTTTCTTCAGGCTTTTTGTTTTATCACCTGTCAATCCTGCCAGTAACACACTTCTTGTTCTAGGATAACAAACCTCACTCACTGTAGCGTATATTTTCTCTGATTTCTTTTTTAGAAAATGAATTTAACCTGAAAAATAATGCAGTCACCACATGTAAAGCGGAGCTCCACCCAAAAAGTTCCGCTTTAAGACATCCTCCCCCCCTCCTATGCCTAGCTTGGCATGTAATTTTGGAGGGGGGGAACAGGTACCCAGTTTTGACAGGTACCTGCTCCCACTTCCGCTTGTATCTCCTAGGCAATCCAAGTGGAAGTTCTACTTCCCTCCTCCTTCCTTGCAGTCTTCTGAGATATGTGACAGACCGCGGGACACATATCCACAAAGCAGAGTGCGACTCACGCATGCGCAGTGGGTACCTGACTGTGAAGCCAAGTGCCACACAGCCGGCTGCCCAGTTAGTATGCCGACACCTGGAGTCTAGTGAAGAACTAGCCCAGGTGAGGACAGCGCTAGATCCTGGGACAGGTAAGTGTCCATTTATTAAAAGTCAGCAGCTATAGGATTTGTAGTTGCTGAATCAAATTTTTTTTTCTATTAACAGACTGAGCTTCTTCTTTAACCTCTTGGCGCCAAGTGTATGTAAATTAGCGGCCCCACTGCACTTGGCTTTTTTCTGTGGGGCCGCTAATTTGCGTACTTGTCTTTGTGCTGAGAGCACGCCGCACAGTGCACTCCCAGCACAAAGACCAGGCTGTTAATGAGTGCCCTGGGTTCCGTTCTAACGATCGGGACCCGGAACTCCTGATTCAGGGTCACATGATTGCTGTGAAAGCCTCCTGATTGGATATCACAGTGATCAGTCACTGTGAAGCTCGCCCCCCCCTTGTTTTCTCTCTCTTAATAGAGAAGAGAGATACATTGTATCTCTCTCTGTCCTTTCAGAGAGGAAAAAAGTGTTTATGAATGAATAAAAATAATAATAAAAATAAATAAAAATACCTAAAGGTGCCAAATGTGGCTGCCGGAGGGGGAACTCCACTTTAAGGTTTCCAAGCACAGATGACATCATGAATTTAGTATTAGAAAAGCAACAACTGGAATCTCTCTGCTTGATACGGGCAGTACCCAGCTTTCTTTTCTTGTACAGCTCTATAAATGAATTTTATTTTCCATGTATGTACGCAATAAGCTCTGTTTATTCAGGAGAACTCATTTGTATGTAATACTGAAGGGAAACACAGATAAATCTTATATCTATTTTCTATTTTGCTTTCTGTACAGATTAATCCTCTACCCTATGGGCAAGTGCTTGACACCTACAGGCTCCCATCCAGTAGATGTTACCCTAAAGACTCATGGGGATCCTTGTGCAAGAAGCTGTTCATTGGGGAAGTCATCTACCCCTGGAAGCAGAAGGAAGAGAAACAAGACTGAAGGAGCACAGGCAGTGTTTATTACAAGGAGGACACTGCCACAGGTCATCTCACATTGGCTGTGGAAAGTTTAATGAGGTTCTCCAGGAAACGGTTAAACTCTTTCCACTTTCTTATTCAGTGATTTATAGACCCCAACATATTAACTTCCTTGTAAGCCAAGGGTTGTGTGAAGCCTCAGCTGACTCATACTGCTAGGGGATGCACTACCATAGCTACCTATAAAAATCAGTGTGGAAGTACCTCCCCTAATAACCAGTCCTTTACAGCACAGATACATTTAGAGAAGAGCTCCGGCTAAACACAGCCCTGAGTTCCACTGAAAGTTAAAGAGCCAAGGGCCTTAAATCCCTGATTACCCTCCTCCTATAGACTTTAAAGTGGTTGTAAACCCTTACATATAGCCAGTGAAGCAACTAATAGCAGGACTACGGTGGACATTCTGACACTGGAGGGAACTGACTTGGTATCACTGACATCCCCAGTGACACCAATACGGTGATCAGTGCAAAAAATAGCACTGACACTGTACTAATGGCACTGGGCAGGAAGGGGTTAATGTGAGGGGTGATCAAAGAGTTAACTTTGTGCTGGGAGTGTTTTATTAGGGGGCGGGGGTGTGTGTGCTTCACTGTAAGCACACTGATCGGGATGGCTGTGCTGTGCATTGCCATCCTGAGCAGTGTGCCTGAGCTGATAGGGAGGAAGACTGTTTGAAACAAAACAGTCTCCCCCCCCCGTCGGTGATTGTTGGTAATCACCGCGCGCTGGCATCCACGGCCACGAATGGCAGTGCGGGTAGGGCTCATACGCGCCCCCTACCCAGAAAACAGGCGTTTTTTAACCTACGTCTTCCAGCAGTCAGTTTCCATCATTCAGAAGAGTTTTCCAAACGCCCCGTGTACATGAGCCCTAAGAGCCTTGTAATATTGACATTCACAGCCAACTAACACCCTAGCAGAACAGCATAATACCAGATTTCACCACCAAGTGATGCTGCATGTCAATCTGTAGCAGTGATACCTGGTCTTTTTTAAAGAGTAACTTCACTTTCGATGGGGAGAAAAATATTCCCCTTCTTGGCGATATACGTATATTGCAGGGATTTTAACACACTTTGTTGCACATGCCTACTTTTTGTTATTCTGAAGAAATAGCTGTTTGTTTGTCTGTGTCCATGTGCAAAATGAATGTGAATGGGAGTGACTTTATAATTATCAATCAGCTGCTGCACCTGCAGGGCTCTGAGGAATGTGTCAGGGTCTGCATCCCTTTAGATGTAGTTTGCCTTTGGTGGTATCTCACCAAAAACTACATTTTTGTTGCAGGGGATGCCCAAAATCTGACTTCTTAGTATCTTAGTGCAGACTTCTGGGAAAATCTGTAAGCCAATCACGCAAGCAGGAAATAACATTTTCAAGGGGCGTTCTGTGCACCATCTGTGTACAGAATGCCTTCAGGTAGCCATATTACATTGCATTTTACATAACATTACAGAGCTGCAGATTGAAAAGGAAAGGTAACTTTTAATAACATTCAATTACAATATGACTTGTGTCATAATTGTTTTAACTATATTATTTTTTTTATTTGCTTTTTTTTGCCCTATGAAAGTGGAGTTACCCTTTAAAAGCAGAGAGATGAATCAGTATGGGGAACCGAGGAAATGCCGGAATCCTAAGCAGACATGGCTTCCATTTTTAGTTCCATTTCATATGAACATCCTCTTTTAAGGGAATCACATTCCAAATAGTAGACTGGACTTAGCAATATTATTCAGTGTTTGTTTTGAAGCGATCATTGTACTGTTCATTCATCATTCCTTTAGTTTTTATAATGACCTAGGTTGCCATATTATTATGTTGAACCATTTTATGGAAATGGTGGAGATCTACTATGGAAGTGAGTGCAAAAAAGCCAAACTGCTTAGTGTATACATGAATTATATACAGTATATTGCAGTTGATTTACCTGCCAATTTTTTTAGAATTTTGTTTCGTCAACTCTTTAATTCAATCTACAACACTGCCTAGCCAAGACATTGACAACACTATTTACTATTACAGCTCTTCAGCATCATATGTCATTTTCTTGACCATTGGACTATGAAAGAGCATCATCATACTACTGAGGTTCCCCCTGTGCTTTTCCCCCCCCCCCCCCCAAAACTGCCTACGCGCCTCTTCACCAACCTCCCCACCTCCCTCCTCTCTCCCTTCCAGATCCAGATGCCTGGAAATAAGCACTGTGCACTGCTGTAAAGTCTGATTGGCTGACAGTGCATACCGTCCCACACTGATTTCTGCCATGCAGGAGCTTGTGGGAAGGTAATATAAAGATGTATTATAGGCACTTATACAAGCACTATTTTAAAATGCATTGAATGAATTTTTCCTTAAAGCGGAGCTCCACCCAAAAGGGGAAGTTCCGCTTTAAGGACTGCTCTCCCGCTCCCCATTAAGGATTGGCACCTTTGGGGGGCGGGGAGCGGGTACCCAAATTTGACAGGTACCCGCTCCCATTTCCAATCCGATTGCCTAGGCCAGGGGTGGGCAAGTGTGGCCCTCCCAGCTGTTGGTGACCTATAAGTCTCTGCCTTTGGGAGTCATGCTTGTAACTGTCAGTTTTGCAATGCCTCGTGGAACTTGTAGTTCTACAACAGCTGGAGGGCCACAGTTGCCCACCCCTGGCCTAGGCGATCGGAAATGGAAGATGTCCTCCCTCCCTTCCTCTAGTCTTTTGGGACACGTGACAGGTCCCAGAAGACTACAGGACCATTCATGAAGCGCAGCGCTACTCACGCATGCGCAGTGGGTACCCGGCTGTGAAGTTGCAAGCTATCACAGCCGGGTGCCCACATTGAAGATGCCGGCCTCTTGGAATCCAGGACGGCCGGTGAAATGGGCTGCGGGGGACACACCACGGGACCGAGGGACAGGTAAGTGGCTGTTTTTTAAAAGTAAGCAGCTACAGTTTTTGTAGCTGCTGACTTTTATTTTTTGACAGGGTGAGTGGAACTCCGCTTTAAGGAGTAACTGGATATTTTTGCCTTCTTATCTTATTACTGTTCTTTGTATTTAGGTAGCACCAGCAATATGCAGTACATAGAAGCAGTCCCTGTCCCAGGGCAGCTGCCATATTAACCAAGGCACAAGCGATAACTGGCAATTCTTCCTGTTCTGAGACCCCGCTTTCATGGCATCTTCATTGTAAATTGGTGCAGGGTGGGCAGGATTATGTCTCTAATGATGTCAAACTCTCAATGGACCCCTATGCACCTAAAGCACGGGTGTCAAACTGGCGGCCCTCCAGCTGTTGCCAAACTACAAGTCCCATGAGGCATTGCAAGATTGACCGTTACAAGCATGACTCCCAAAGGCAGAGGCATGATGGGACTTGTAGTTTTGCAACAGCTGGAGGGCCGCCAGTTTCACACCCCTGACCTAAAAGAACCGCAGGTGCCTAGGCACTGCCATTGTGCAGCTGTGCCGTGCTGCTCCTTATCAGGAATTATGTGTTAAAGATGTATTTTTAATAACTGATTTACTACACTGAAATGTGCTTACTGATCCCAGTTAGACAGATAAATGTTAGATTTTAAAGCGAAATCAGATTTTAGGATTAAGATCAAAATTGTTTTTTTTGTTTTTTTTTTTTTAGTTTGTACATGAGGGGTAGTCAACCTTGGTGTGGTCCACTACAAATCCCGTTATGCCTCAACCTCTGAGAGTCATGCCTGGCTGTCAGTCTTGCAATGCCTCTTGGCACCTACAAAAATCTGGACTGCTGAGGATGCTTACCTCACTGTACACTGACTGGGACACATGAGCAGCACAGAGTACAGTCTCAGCAGCAGGAGGAGTTGAAGCCTCCCATTCAAGTCTATGGTGTTGCTTCTCAAACGCCTGGCAGGCATTTGCGAGGTGTTTGCGGAGTGTTAGGGCTCGTTCACACTTTATTTCTAACTCTTGCCAAACGCCCCTATAGCGTTTGACAGTCGTTTGGGAAGTGTTTTTAATGCTCACCAAACGCCCTATGCACGGTTTTGAGGCGTTAAAACCGCACCGCAAACGCCTATAATGAACTTAAATGGTATTAACGCTCCGCAAACGCCTCGCAAACGCACTGCAAACGCCTATAATGAAGTTAAATGGTATTAACGCTCCGCAACCGCCTCGCAACCGCACTGCAAACGCCTATAATGAAGTTAAATGGTATCAACGCTCCGCAAATGCCTGCCAGGCGTTTGAGGAGCGGCACCATAGATTTGAATGGGAGGCTTCAACTCCTCCTGCCTCGACATGAGGTGCCATTTTTGCTGCAACGCTAACACTTAACACTTTTACCCTAACAGGGTAAAATCATCAATATATCACCTCCTCACTGCTTGTCAAATTCCCACTGAAAAGAAATTTGAACACGGAACGCTCTTCAGAGGGCACCACAGATGTGAAAGAGCCCGTAAAGAAATGCAAGCAGCTGAAGAGTCGCTACAGGCTAAACAATGCTATCGCTTCAGTGTGAACCGCACTGTGTGCTGCCATGTGCAGAATTTTCATAGGCGTTTGAGAAGCGTTAAAAACGCTTCCCAAATGCCTGCTGACAAAGCTAGTGTGAACGTAGCTTAATGCCCACTACCATGCAGCAATTCCATGCATTGCATACTGTTGCAGCATGGAACTCATTAAACGAGTTTGACAGGCGGCACGGCTTTTCAAGCTCTGCACCTCAAGTTAAAGGCCATCTCAACCACGGTATGTGTACAGTTTTTACCGCACCCCCACTGCCCATCTGAAAAAGCCCTACAAACAACCTTTACCAGGGGATCAGTTAGGCTACATTCACACTTGACTTTATTTCTAACTCCTGCCAAACGCCCCTATAGTGTTTGACAGGCGTTTGGGAAGCGTTTTAACGCTC